TCATCGGAAAAAACGGGAAGCATATTGAACTTCTGATGCTACATGCTACATGCAAAGGCAAACAATTTTACAACTTTGTTATGATAGAAAAAGCATTCTACTTATACAAATACATGCATAGGTCCGATATTCGATGATTTATAAATGCATACAAATAATCGTTATTTCGTATATTTAATTATTTTTCGATTTCTTTACCTACCCATCTAAGTACATATTTCTTCATAATAAAAATAATGTGCATTTGACTTTATAATAAGTACTTTTAGTGGGATAACCTACAAGTTTTAAATATAATCTAGATGTACAAAATGTTTTTACAAATACACAACTTTTAAAATAATCCACATTAAAAGCATATGTATAGTATGTATTTAGCAACAAAAATCGAATATTCCCAAAATCAGAATATTGAAGAGCACCTCTTTTTTTTTTTGGAATATTTAGCTAAAACTCATGTCTGGCCCAAACCAGTATTCCTACATGACAGTCTCTGTTTGGTTTTATCTTAAGCAAATAATATGTCATACTAATATTATTATTTTCGAGTCGGCTCAGTGTATTCCACAGTCGGCTCAACGTGCGCTTCTCAGTCTCGGTTGTTTCATTTTTTGGTGGTTCAATGAACTTTGTTCGCCTTACCATTTTTCGGGGATCGTTGACCGATCGCAGCGAAGCGTGCGAGTGAACGAAACGGCAGCACAAAAGAGAAACTCTGATAGGCGCTCGTGTGCTGACGTCAGCGCCACAACAGCAACAACAACAACAGCAGCAGCAGATCGAATGTCGGCAGCGTGCTCCGTAGCCGTAAGCGAGTGGGCTGTTGTTGTGTATGTACATACATACGTGTATATACATATATACAGTATGTATTTATGTTTGCATGCACGTAAATACTATTTTATCTCGCACGTAGACAAGAAATAATACAATTATATATATGTACATACATACATACTTGCTAATATGTATGTACAAGGGGCCTTATAGCGACACCAAAACACAAAATGCCATCCAGTTAAATAAACTTTTCTTTGATGCTCGCTATAAAACATTAATTTTTTTGTTTAATACAAAATTATAAACTTTTTGTAACAAGCGCCCAGCAATCGTTTGAAAGTCGTTTGTCGTGTGCACTTTACACGTGACGAGCGTCGAGCGCCGACCGCCGAGCAGCGAGCTGCCGACGATCGCAGTCGCTGCGTGCTGCTGAATAGATAAGCTGCGCTAGCGTTGACGCTGACGTCACACGAAAAGTGGGTGGAGCTTTTCTACAATACAAGGTACATAATACTCGTACTATACATACTGCTATAAATAGTTATGAATCAGACAATAACTATTAAACTTATTTAGCAGCTGTGTTTAGTTTGTGTCTAGGTATATATGAATGTACACACATATATAGTGTGTATGTATTATAATTAGTTTAAATCATTAATAAATAAATGCAATCTTTGTATATATGTATGTATGTATTCATGTACAATTGTATGTACATACATATATGTACATATGTGTATAGCAGATCACACTTGAACTTGAAATCGTGAAAAATAACTCAAACAAACACTCTTGCTTTCGTTGAAATTTATGGCAACTCACGATGTTAAACATTTATCCAAAATCACAGGCGTGCAGTAGCTACGTGGATGTGTTTATTATCCGTTGCTCTGCTATCGAGTTTTGGATAAATTGTGCCCATACACTTGTAAAAAACAAATGACTTCGCAATATGCAATACATAAAGTTCGCATTGAATCCGTTCAAAACAATTGCTTTTGTTTGGAGTAGAATTAAGATCAAGTAGAAATTAGATTAAGAATAAAATATTTGAAATATTTTAATCACTACTACATTTTAAAGAATTATTGTAAATAATTTAAACATTTTTTCATTGTTTTTTAAATTTGAATGAATAATTATTATTTTTGTATGTTTTCATGTCTTCAAATTGACAGTTCTCTATCAGAAATTAATAAATAAAAAAATAAATAAATGTTTACTGCTAATTTAATGAATGGTGAACGGTGGGATTTCTATTAATTGGTAGGGCAGGGATTAACAATATTGTCAAAAAGTTATAGCTGTAATATTATTATGTTATATTATCCAAACTTTTGAAAGCCAACTGATCACTTTTTGACTCGGCTTTGATTTTTCAAATGAATTTCAGAAGTCAGTTTAATTAAAAAATAATTATTTGAAAATAAAAAATATTGTTTCTGCTACAATATACTTAATGGGCCACTAAAATACTATTGAAGTTGGCTCATGCAAGATCTGACTAGATCTTTATTCAATAATATTTAATATTTAATTAAGAAAATGCAGGTTTTGCAGTGTATTTATTTTTTAATGCTCAAACAAATGTCGCGTGAGCTTTGCGAGCATTTCAATATACATATGTATGTAAGTAAGTATGAAAGCGCAGAGGCAAATTAGCCGATGACCCTTTCAATATCACACATACATACATACGAGTATATGTAGATACATATGAGTGTATGTATGTATAAAAGCAAAAGCAACAACCAGCGACTTATCAATGCCAGCAACTGACGTCAAGGTCTCACCAGAAATATCGAAGTGAATGCGACGCCTTCTCTTCAAAGCTGTCCGCCTATTCGAATTAGTACAAAATAATACCGTATTTCCTAGAGTTTTACGGATTTACCGTTACGCCGTAGCGGTGCGGTGCACAAAATAAAAGCAACAACACCATCGGTATACGCGTAAATGCTGCGGAGTAGGGCGAGTGCCACACATTCCATCAAAATATCAGCAGTCCGTGAGCGAGCACTTGAGAGAAGGTGTGTTGTTTGTGTTTATTTTATTGTTGGATGGGGGTGGGTGGAGGTGGGAGAGTGAAGCAGACAACAAGCAACTGTTTTTGTATGGCAACACTTGCCCGCTCGCTCGCTCGTCAGCACAATAAAAACATTCACACATGCATACACACATACATACATATGTACGTATACTTGCTTGGCAGATATGTAAGAGTGTATATGAGTAAGCATGTAGTACGTATTTTTATTTTGTTTATAAATTTAACAACACGAAGCGTAAAAAAGTTTAAAACATTTTAAATAGTTTGCTAATTGAACAGGCGCTCAGCTTCTCCAACAACTGCTCTGGCCGTTCAAGTTTTGGACGCTTGCCCAAGCTTGGACAGCGATAAAAATACAACACACCAAAATCAGCAGCAACAACAACAACAACGTTTTTCGGCAAAAGCTACGCGTCGCTGAAAACGCTCACTGATAAGCGCTATTGACGCCGATCGTCAAAATGTTGTATTGTTGTTGTTGTTATTGTTGTGTTGGTGCTGCCGTCGCGTAAGATCGCGCGGCGTTCATGCGTACGCATGATTGTTTGAGGCATTAAGTGGGTCAAGCACACAGCAGTGGATGCATATGTATGTATGTACATACATACATATATAGAGTGTATAAATATATATGTACATACCATGTACAAACGTACGCATGTATGTATGTACTATGTATATACAATAAGCGAACGTTCGTGTGTGTTTATGCAGCGCACATACCTTTGATTACAGTACATCCTCAGTATGTTGGTTATTTACCAACTAAACAAATGCATATTTAAATTCATATACCCCTAATTCTGTGTTTACACGATCTTTTTTACACGTTCTTGATTTAACACGGTTTGAAAATTAAACATTTTGTATATGGATGCACGACTTTTTCCATTTAGAACGATTCAATATATTACAGCTGGTAACAACTAATTAACAACGACTGGAATTGGAGGGATTTTTCGACTCTCAAAATAACTACAGTTGATCTAACGGTACCTAATCACCACTTATTTCTTCCTTAGGTATTCCTTTTTATAAATGTGTCGCAGTTTTAATACGAACAGCAACGTTCAATTATTAATTTGTATTTTTAAGTTGAGTTGTGTGATTTTTCCGTGCCACGATTTCAAAAAAGGGTCAAATTGATCAATGTCTTTTTTTGCACGGTTTTTTGTGGAAAAACAGAATTAAGCGTACATACATAGATCTAATGAACATACATACTTAATATGTGAGGTGATTTAGTATTGGCAAAAAATCCCCGCCAGCGAGTGGGATTTGTTATTGGATATTTTTGTAATTTCTAAAGGCTTTTTTATTCTTTAGTTATATTTAGTTCAAGTTCTCTATTGTTTTAATTTTTTTAAAGCTTTGTTTGTCGAAAAAATAAATAAAATAAATAATAATACATACTATACTACATACATATGTGTGAATAAAGTGTCAATTAAAATTTTTATAAACGTACTTAAAGCGTGTAAAATCAGTATTAAAGCCGGATTCTTTCACACCCTGTAACTCTCCATATCTCTTTTTCCACAGCGCAAAAAAAAAAAATAGTAGAGACTGTATTTATATCTTCAGTTTTGGACACACATAATTTCCACTTTCCGATTTATTTGTTTTTTCGCTTATACAGAGAAACAGGTAGATAGATATCTGTATTAGTTAGTTTCCTGAAGCCTGTGAACCGATTATGGATTATACAAATAGGAAAAGTGATCTCTAACAAAGGCTGGCCAGTTATTTACAAATATCTGGAAATTCAATTTAACTACAATTGGCAAACATACATATGTACACCAGCGCCGTCTATAGTGCTTATTGGCAAACGTACAGCCCATTTTACAAATCAGTTAAATTCTTTCGTTTGTAATAATCATAATATTGTCTGTTTCCCCTCAAATATTCCCTCCTTTTCTTTTGCTCTTGCCTTGCGAATATCGAGTAATCGATAGTTTTTATAATGGAGAGCTAAATTCGACCATGAATTATTAATTACCGAAACAGATCAATTCGAAGCGGAGAGTGTTTTCTTCTAATGCTCAGAACAGAGAAAACAGCCAGTCTTAGCCATTGCGTTGACATGAAGGTTCTTTGGGTTTGTTTTGTACTGATCGGTGTGAATTGTTATTGCTGCCTAGCTAAGAAAAGTTCCCCTCAGACTAAAACAAAGGTAATTAGGAAAACGGCGTATTAATAAAGCAGTAATCCAACTAAAATTAAGTTATTACAGGTACTGAAGTAATGATATAGCTCATTATTGGACACATTTAAAGACATTCATTTGTTTTATACAGAGCGGCACTAATTCTTCAGACAAAGGTGTCGAGGCGGCATCCGCCAGGTACGTATTTATGTGTCATTTGTTCGTTGTATGCCACTTTCTATTTGTCAGATTGAGGAAGGAGCTGGAGGAATTAAGTTCAATGGCAATCAGTTATATTTCGATAAACAAGTTCGGCAAAGCGGTAGAAAATATAAGCATTGCGGAAATACTTTCCAAAATCATAGACACCAATGTCACAGGAGTATTGAAAAGATTTCCACCGACTTGTCCAAATTTTTCGGGGGCAGATGGAGTTCGTACCATTAAAGTGTCCGACTTGGAGCCATTCGAGGTGCTTTGTGGCTCCAATTTGTTTGGTGCCGGCTGGATGGTGATCCAAAAACGCATTGATGGAAATTTGAATTTCTTTCGAAATTGGACAGAGTATACCTTGGGCTTTGGCAATATATCCCACGAGTTCTTTATTGGATTGAAAAAGTTGCATTCCATCACTTTGTTGCAACAACATGAGCTCTTCGTATACATGGAGGATTTCGAAGGGGGTTGGCGATATGCGCTTTATGATGATTTTGAGATTGGCAACGAAGGGGAATTTTATGCTTTAAAAAAGTTGGGACATTATTCGGGCAATGCTGGCGACTCCTTGGTATATTCCAGGACTGCAAAGTTCTCCACATACGATAAGGACAACGATGACTACACCGAGAGTTGTGCGATTAAATTTATGGGGGCCGGCTGGTTCAAGAAGTGTATGCAGACGTATGTGTGCAATTAATTCCTCTTAGATCTCATTGTTTATTGATTTCTTCTGTGTTGCCAGCAATCTCAATGGACTGTATTTAAACGGCAATTATTCGAGTGAAAGCGGTATGAAGGCGAAAGGCGTGTATTGGCATCACTGGCATGGTTCATACTACTCTTTAAAAACGCTTAGCATGATGATACGTCCAAAAAAAACATGCCCATTTTTCGATGGACAACCCTAATTGATAACGCCAATAGAAACAAGTCCATTCTTTAATTGTCAATGTTTTGTAATTTCTCAATATTCAATATATATTATTGTTGATGCTATAATTCTGACTCCATTTAATTGTGTTATTAAGAAAACCAAGCAAAGAAAGTAAGGAAACTTGAAAATAAAATGAAGTAAGCTCATTCTGCCTAGGAAGTAGAAGAAGTAGATACCAAGTAAGCTAGGCGTTTAAACAAGCGGACATGTCTGATTGCTGTCCGATTTGTCCCACCTTGCTGATTAACAATATAAACAGAAGCTTCTTTCTGCCTTTACACGACCTCAATATACTCTTATCACCCTTTATGTACAGGCTATAAAAAGCAACAAACTAAATCCTCGCACAATGTTGCTGGCTGGTCGCTAACCGGCCGATCTATCACAGCCACTAATCTGAAAAAAGTCCTTGTCTCTTAGGCAAGGCTTATTAACTATCATTAGCCACTACAAAAGAGAAGCCTTGATGGCGCAACAATAAACTTAAAAAAAAGTGGCCAACAGACTAGGGAAGGGGCAAAGGACAGAGCGGAAATAAAAAATCACATGTGAGCTCAGCTGCCAACTGTCAGCAAAGGTGAGTTGATGCTGCAGCTGCTTCGCGCTCCTCCTCAGCATCCATTGCTAAAGGGCTACTTCACGGCACTGTGCACAATCACACACACACACAAACACACATGGAGGGTAGGGGCAGGAGCATTGGGATTGTCGCTGGCTGCTTGTTGCACTTTTACACATAATCATGTCATATGAAAGGACGACAGGACAGGATGTCAACAGCAGCAAGGAAAGCGGTTGTAATTCTCTGCTGAAGATATAATACTCTTCAATCGTACACTGTTAAGTACAAATAAGAATAAATGGCTATCATGCTACTGCACACAGAGAAGCAAAGTAATTTTAAATGTCTTTAAGAAAGTATTTAAAACAAAATGGGAGAGATTTTTCAACAACTCTTCTGTGAATAAACAAAATGAGTTCCCCTTAATATATTTCATAATTATTATAATACTTACTTGTATATTCAATACAATATTCAAATAAGATAATGTAATCATATTTAATATTTAAAAGTCAACTTTTCGAGACCTGCTGTTAGAATTACATTAATTAAGTATTAATTAATATATCATTTGAAAAGTGTTTAGTAGAATATAATGCTACATATGAATAGCGATTAGTTATCTGATTAAGATATGGCCAGATAGTTCCAAAAGCCAAACAGAAATGCCCAAAAAAGCACTTGGCATGCGTATTTTAATCCAGGCTGATATTTTGTTAACTTATGTATAAATAATTATAAAATATAGACTATTGGAATGCCTGGTTTTTATACATCACCTACAACTTCTTCCTAATCCGTAGATTCCTAAAAATATTTGTCTTTCTAACATTTTTGTATTTGAAACCACCCTTTATTCTTCATTATAGTATCTGAAAAAGAAAAACAGTGACATCTGAAGGGGTCCTATACTATATACATGTACTGGTAAACTCGTTAGACAGTTTGTTGAGAAGCGGTTGTGCAGGGCAAAGGAGCCTCGGAGTCGGAACAATTGCCGGCTCGGTCGGGCGACGACGTGTGACGCTTGACTTTAGATGACTTGGGGCATTGCTGACTGTGCTTGTTTCCCTTTTGCATTTTTGTTGCTGTTGCTTTTATTATTATTTTTTTTTAACTTTCCACTTCATGTTTATGTTGTATGTTGTGGGCTGTGACATTGGCCACTGACATGTTACGCTGTCGCCTGTCTCGCACTTGCGAAAAGGATATGACCAACAAGGACCACGACAACGGCAACGATGTCGACGATGACGACAGAAACGGTAACGTTAAAGGTAATGGTGACGGCGACGGTGACGACGATGGCAGCTAACGGGGCACATGGCGTTGGCGTTGGCGTTGGCACCTGCCTGACACATGGGTGTTAAAATAACAGCCCCTCGAACATATTGACTTTTAAAATAAGCATTATGGCTGTAAATTTTTATGAAACCTTCGCTTGTCCAACCCAATGCCGGAGGCTGAAGCAGCAGTTGCCCGAATGGAGACAGCTGAGTGATTTATATATATTGTTTAATATTATTATGGCTGGCAGGTGACTGGATAGCTGGCAAACACACTTGCTGTCTTTCTGTCTTGCCGTCTTCCTGTCTGTTCCGCCCGCTGGCTGTGCAAAATGCGAAAAATTGAGAACATTACATGTGCGAGATGTGGAGATGGAGGATGGTGGATGGAGAAATGTATCCCTGTCCAAATGCATGCACATGTCCTGATGTCCCAGTATGTGGCTGGCAATAATTGTTAAAATGTGTGGCTGGTTGGCCGTTCATCGGTCGACTGCTTGCTTGCATGTCCGTAACTGGTGATGGTAATGATGAAGCGGTTGATGGCAGCTAAGGGTTAATTTTAAGTAAAATCTGTTGTAGGCAGCTCATGTTATATATAAACTTTTTACATATACCAAAGAAACCAACATATCAAGATAAAAAGATCACGAAACATACTATACTTATATTCACTAGACTCGCTGTCACACATACTTACTATACTTTTAACGGGCATATAGGGATAGCATTCTGAAGTATGGATTTGTATTGCAATTGCTTATTAATTTAGCAGATGATTCTCAGACAGAAAGATGCTATAAAATTCCCTGACATTCAGCGACATTGTATTTAAAACATGCTAATTAAAATCCATACAAGTCATTAAACTTTGATCAATACATTTTCAAACGAGTTCTTTTTTTGTTGTGGCCCCGTAATTAAATCTCAATCACAGGCATTTTCCGCACAAGAGAACGTGCGTTTATTTATAGCCATTACGTGTATATACTTTTTGCAATTAATCAAGCCACGAATTTGTGCTGCTGGCATTGCCATTGTTTCACTTTTAATGCATTGAAATGGCTTTTGTTGTTTCTGTTGTGCCTTTTACTTAAATAAACCCGCCAAAAGCAAATTAATATTCAATTAATCGAAAACAGGCGCGAAATGTGCGCATAAAAAAAGATAAAAACAAAATGAAAAACAAGAATTGAATACGAAAAAAAATTACGCTAAAATATTTATTAAAATATTGTGTGCATCTACATATATGCATGTACATATGTATAGTGTATGTGCATTCATAAAACAAGAATAATTTTTAAGCGCAATAATTAATTTCGATTTTGCGCTTCCACGCGTTTTTGTTTGCTGTGTTGAGTTCGCTTGATTGATTACATTTTAAATGTATTTGTTATCGCGATGAGCGGCAATTTATGCACCGGCCTAAAAGTATGCTACGCATTTTTTAAACAGCGATATAAATAAATACTGCATTAAGGCAGTAGTGAACGGTAAGTGCCTTTGTTGAAAGCTAATGTGCATTGACTGTCTGGCATAAATCTTAAAGTTATATATGAAACTACCCTAGATACACACTATAAATAAATATAAAAAAAGCCATTAGAAAATATCTCTCACGCTATTTCTATTTCTCTAAAAATAGCAAAACAATCTACGCCTACTCTTAGATCGTATTATGAACATTGGGTATCCATTGTCTTATTTGTTTGCCTTTCCAATTTGATGTTTGACTCATTGTTCACGGGATTTGGCTTAAGCTGATTGTTGTAAGCTTAGTAGGTGCGATGTGTGGGTAATTTGTAATTACAAATTTGTAATTACAAATGGTGCATCCATGGCAGGAATTTATTTATATTTCAAGCAGAAATGTATTTATTTCTCTACAAAATTTGATTGTTGTTGACCAAAAATTGGTTCAAAGTGTTTTATGACAAGCTTGTACTATAATGTGTGAAATATGCATAATGTGGCAGTTACAAAGGTCTTAATTTTTGTTTTACTTGTAAATTCAAGTATTTTACAACAATTTCGATTGGTTTGGGAAATTGAAATTAAAACAACACTGACAGCATACAAATTAAATTATTTTAACAATATTTTTTTACATATATATAAATAAATCAGCTTTTTTTAAAGAAGCCACAAAATTTTCGTATAAGGTTGAGGCATTGTGGTAAGAAGCTCGCAGTTGGATGTAATTTCAAAATTTTCACCAAATTAAATTAAAAATTATGAAAGTTAGGGAGCTATATACAGAATATATAGTATGAAACCGTGACAAGCACTGATTTATTTTACATTTCTTAAATTTAAGTGCATTGGAGTCTGCATTTGGTTGCTGGCATAAATTTGTAATACCTCGTTTCCCATTCAACTGTGGCATGCAGCTCATTAATTTTCTATCGAGCTTAAATTACTGTGTAAAATTTTGTTGCTGCCAGGTGCTTATACTACTCCAAACTATATCTAACAAAATTCGCGAGGGGTTGAGAAACTATTCCATTTTCAAATTAGCAACGTTTTCCCAAAAATCGAGTTAATTAGTGCAAGCAGTGAACACCGACGGCAACAACAGTTATGGAAAGCGCAAACTTTTAGCGAACAGTGAAAATAGTTGAAAACTACATTGCAAACATGCCGCCCAACGCCCAGCAGTCAACTGACAATTCTAACTAAAAGTATGCGCCCTGAAGGTATGTAACACATTTCGCTGAAATCCAAAAGCCCTGCCAAACATTTCCATGAATCAAGTAATTAACAAGCTATGTATGTATATCGGAATGGTAGTGGGCTAATAGTAGAGATGAGATGGATGAACAAATTATAGAGCTGAGCCGTTGGGGAATATCTACATATAACCATAACAAATGATGCTTGACTGTCAGTAGAAGAACAAGCTAAAATATTTATGGATTTTCCGATTACATTGCTGTCTTTGTTTAAAATGTGCAATGAAAATTCCATCAATTTTTGAAAATAAGTGTATACTTAAATTGCAAAAAGTAATCAAATCAACGCTCAAATGGAAACAATCCCGTATGACAATATTTAGGGTCTTTCAGAAAGCCTTATTTTCTTTACCAAGTCTTAGAGGTTAAATTAAAAAATTAAAAACTGAAACAGGACGAAAAACAAAGGGCAGGCTGATAAGAAATCCCTGCTTTTTGAAGTGC